ACGGGATCGCAAGCCTCGGCGTTGCTCCCACGCCTCGCTCAGCCAGTGAGCGGGAGCCGGTCTGCACGTGGGATCCGAACCCTTGGACGGGAGCGCCGCCGCGCTTCCAAAGCGGCGCACTATCCAGTGCGCCACCGGGCCGGCCCAATATTTACTTTTTTTGTTTATAAAATTAATATATGTTCATTATGAAAACTATGAAAAATACAAAAGGTATATAGAAAAAATTAGAATTACTTATAATTCCCTCACCAGACACTATCATTATTAACAACTTGATATATTTTCTTCTTTAATAATACACTTTTATTCTTTCAGCTAGTCACCATGAAACTTTACCTATAAAATCTCTGCAAGAGATAAACTGCCTTTCTAGATAACTGAATTATACTTTAATTGGGGAATTAACTTACCTTTGCATAACTTATTACTGTTCTGCTGGGGGAAATTATGTTATTCTGACATATATTTTCCTATCTGCCTCTTGCATTATAGACCCAACTTCCTACCTGCTGTGGAATTTCACTCTGAGAATAAAATCCAAAAGAAAGACTGACTTTAGTCTTTTTTTTTTTTTTAATCCTAATGTGAACAGATTGTTTTCCTCTATATTACAGAACTTTCTGTTACTGATCAAGATGAATAAGTAAGATATTTAAAAGCATACACATTTTACATTTAAAAGCTTTTGTTTATGGCTTTTCAGAGATTTTGAAGAAACAATTATTTATAGGTTGGAACATTTTTAATGTATAGCTTCATCTACAGAAAACCATGGTCAGTTAGGAGTGGATCTCACCCTCTAATCTCTCTATGTCAGGCTTCCACTAGGGTGATGACTCACACGCAGCACTGTGCATAGTGCGTAATCTACATAGGGTGATGTCCTTTGACTTAAATGTGTGTTCCCAAATTCTTTGTCTGGCACATAGAGTATAAATAACACAATACTAGATGCTTTTATGGTTGAACAAAGAATAATACTCAGTACCTTTCCTCTAGAAGTTTACAATACAGTGAGGGAGCAAGAGGTGATGCATATGAAAAACTAGATTAAACTTGTCACTTTTTCATCAATAGCCAAATGAGTGGCACCAGCATGATTAGTCGACCAGAGGAGGAAGCCACCATCGTGGATCTGCAGCAGGGTTTCTCAGCTTTGGCATTCCTAACATTTTGGGCCAAATAATTCTTTATTGTGGGGGCTGTGCTGCGTGTTGTAGGATGTTTAGCATGGCCTCTACCCACTAGATACCAGTATAGATACCAGTAGCAACAAACTCCTCTTCATGCCCACCCCTACCCCATATACACACATGGTCGAGACAACCAAAAATATCTCCATTGTTTTCTGAGGAAGGTAGGAAGCAAAATAGCCCCTAGTTGAGAACTACTGATCTAGAGCTGTTAAAAATATGTTGGAGGGCTGGCCCTGTGGCTCACTTGGGAGAGTGCGGTGCTGATAGTGCTGAGGCCGTGGGTTCGGATCCTATATAGGGATGGCCAGTGCGCTCACTGGCTGAGCGTGGTGAAGACCACACCATGCCGAGGGTTCGGTCAAAAAAACAAACAAACAAACAAAAAACCCTGTTGGAGCATGAAAGCAGTGCTTGTGCGTGTGTGTGGCTGGTTGGTACAGGGATCGAACCCTGGATCCTGGACCATGGTCTAACCAACTGTAAATAAAGCTGGAGGAGTATTCTACCTTATTATGGGTTCTTCCAGGCCAAGTCATCCAAATCTTCCCATTTCTGCTGTTTTTTTGTTTGCTTGTGCCTTTTCAAAGTACTTAACAGTTTGTTTTGAACTACAGTGTATCCTAGATTGAGGACAGAGACCGTGTAGCAAATCTTTAAATCCACACAGTATTTAACTTGGTGCTTTATAAATAATAGTTTCTTAGTAAATACTTGTGGATTGAATTGAACCTAGAAGCAGGGAGATTAGATAGGGCATTGACTGCTTTGATGTCAGTCCAAAAGTTAGAATGAGTGTGATTATCCAATAGGATTTAGACTCTTGAAATCATAAATTTCAATGCTAGGTTTAAACTAAGGACATAACTAGTACAATTGCACTGTTCATAGTACTGGAGAAGAGTTATCTACCGTCTTCCCTTTGTGATCTGTCAGATCATCTCCTTAACCTGTATAGAATAGTGAAGAAGGGAAGAGCACAGGCTTTGCAATCATCTAGACCTGGTTTCAAATATTCACCCTGTTTCTTAGTAGCTTTGTGATGGGGGTGAGTCAGTTAACTTATTTTTTTTTTTTTCCTTTTTTTTCTTTTTTTTCGTGTCTGGCAACGGATCGCAACCCTCAGTGTCGCGCCCGTACCGGACCGGGACCGGCAACGGGATCGCAACCCTCAGTGTTGCTCCCACACCTCGCTCAGCCAGTGAGCGGGAACCGGTCTGTATGTGGGATCCGAACCCTCGGCAGGAGCGCCACCGTGCTTCCCAAGCAGCGCACTGTAGCAGTGCGCCACCGGGCCGGCCCCGTCAGTTAACTTTTAGAAACCTCAGTTTTCTCATCTAGAAATTTACTTTTGTTGGCATTCACTGTATAATGTTTATTTTTTACAGCTAAAAAAACTGTGATTTCTCATTTTAATAGTAACTGTTTATGGAACCTCTACCAGGAATTAGACTGTACTAGACAGGGTCTGATGTATATATGTATGTATGTATGTATGTATTATAAATATATATGTGTGTGTGAGTGTGTTTATATACACACACGTATATATGTATATATATACTGCATGCTTTCTAATTTAATGTTCACAAGAACTATGGAGTAGGCACCATGAGCCCCATTTTGTAGAGGAAATTGAGGTTTGGAATGGCTACAAACTTTCCCAAAATCACACAGTAATTGAATGGCAGAGTGAGGATCAAACTCCAAAGCCTATTCCATTGTGCTCTTTGCTGCTTTTGTACTGGCTGGATTCATCACCTTTCATTGGTCTAATTTAACTTTTTTTCCTTTACAGGGCCATGCTATGATAGTGGAAGCTTATCCAAAATAATCGGTCCAGAAGAGGTGACCTGAAGTTTCTGTGCAACACTCGCACTAGGCAATGCCATTTCAATGCATTACTAAATGACATCTATAGTTCCTAGCTCCTCTTAGGAAAGCAACATTTGTGGCCTTCTGTTAAATAATTTGAAATTAAGCCTTGCCAGTGTTCTGAGCTTTTCAGTAATCACAGCTTACTGCTCTTTTCAGGGATTTTTAAGTCACCAGAATCTCACACAAAAATGTATAAGCAGGTGTTTTTGGTTTCTGTTGTCATTGAAGACTAAATGAGCATTTGCAATTTGGGAAAGAGGTTAGCTGAGATTTGGAATTATCTTTGTAACATTTGCTAATTATACTTATTCCTATCTGTGTTCTAAAGATAAGTTTTTATAAACTACAAACCAGTGTGCCTCAATTAATTATGGAAAAATAATTCAAAATCTAAACATCTCTGAAAACTTATAATAAATGTTTAGATATATAATACCATGTTGGTCAACCTTAATAAAGTGGAGAAGTATCGGAGAACTGTTTCCCTTCTTTTTTATTAGGTAGAGAGGGTGGTTTTCTTGGCTTCGGGGCAGATTTTGCCTTCGGTTACTCATTTGTAACTTCTATTTTAGTCAACTGTGAGGCTGTTAGGATATGAAGAGAGTTCTGCTTTAGAATAGCACCATTTCTTTTGTACTGCTTAATTGAAGTAAATTTATTTCACTGTTTGGAGATACTTCTGCTTGTCAGGATTTAAATGAAGTGTAAAGAATTTTTTTATTTTGGTCAAGTACTATAAATCCGCTCAGATTTTTTCAATGAGTGCTTTGAAGAAGCAAAAGGCTCAATCACAGCCATTTGTGTGAATGTTGCTTAGGTCTATGAAAGTTACTGGCAATCACAATCACTTTGTCGTTCAGGGACAGATTGGGCAAGAGACCTAGTACTAACCTCTTAAAAGGATACTTGAGAGTCCCAACATCATTTCCCCTTGGTTTCCTTGGTAATTTCAACATAATGTGAGGTTTTTAATTCTGAAAACCATTATATTTACATACATATCACAAAAGTCAATTCAAAATAAGTGAAATGTAAAAGGTAAACTTTTTAAGATTTAGAAAAAATATCGCTATGACCTTAGGTTGAAGGGAGAGGGAGATTTCTTTTTTTTTTTTTTTTTTTTTTTTAAAGAAGACATTTAAAGTACTAACCATAAAAGAAAAGATCTACAAATTTTCCTGTGTTGGAATGAGAACTTTTGTTCTTCATATGATACAGAGTGGTGGAGAGACAGGCCACAAGTGAGGCAAAGATATTTATACTAGATAAATCTTACAAAGGATCCAGGATATATAAAGAATTCCTACAAATCAATAAGAATAAAGACAACTCAGTACAAAAGTGGACAAAAGATATTAACAGGCATCTTTTAGAGAATGGTACACAAATGGTGAATAAACATGAAAAGATGCACAATAGTGATCAGGAATTAACAAATTAAGATCATAATGAGAGATTATTTTATACTCACCAGACTGGCAAAAATTAACAAGACTGAGAATAACAAGTGTTGGTGAGATGTGGAACAATAGGAATTCTTATACACTGCTGGTGAGAATGCAAGTTGGTACAACCATTTTGGAAAACGGTCCATCATTATTTTGTACATTTGAATATATCACAAGGTTTATGACCCAGCATTTCTACTCTTAAGAATATCTCTGAAGAAATGTGCACGAGTCCAGGAAACATGTACAAGACTGTTGATAGCAGCATTGCTCTGAATAGCAAAGTATTGTAAATAACTTATGCTCAGTGAGAGGAAAGGTTTAAAAACAAGCAAAACTAATTTCTAGGATGCCTACAGGCAAGGTAAAAATAGTCTCTAAAACAGTTAAAGGAAAGGGAAAGAAGACAAATCTTCCTTACTGATGGAGTTTGGATGTGTTGTCCCCTCCAAAACTCATGTGGAATTTTGATCCCCAATGTGGCAGTGTTGGAAACTGATTGAGTCATGGGGGTGGATCCCTCATGAACGGATTAATGCTCTGCCTGGGGGAGGGGGGGTTAATGAGTGAGTTCTCGCTCTATTAGTTCCCGTGAGAGCTTGTTTACAAGACCCTGGCACCTCCTCTCTGTCTCTTGTTTCCTCTCACCATGTGATCTGCTTGTACCCACTGCTGGCTGCTTGCTGCTTTTCCACCATGAGTAGAAGCAGCCTGAGGCCTATGCTAGATGCAGCTGTCCCAGAATCGTAAGCCAAATAAACCTCTTTCCTTTATAAATCACCCAGTCTCAGATATTTCTGTCATAGCAACACAAAACGGACTGAAACAAAATTGGTACCGAGGAGTTGGGTGTTGCTATACAGAAACTTGAAAATGTGGATGCAGCTTTGGAACTGGGTGATGGGCAAAGTTTGGAGGACTTAGAAGAAGAGGAAAAGATGAGGGAAAGTTGAAAATTTCTTAGAGACTTATGTGGTCAGTAAATATGGACAGTAAAGGCCATGCAGATAATGAGGTCTCAGATAGGAATGAGGAGCTTATTGGAAATTGGACAAAAGATAACCCTTGCTACCCCATAGCAAGGAATTTGGCTGCATTGTGTCCATGCCCTTGGACTTTGTAGAAGGTGGGACTTAAGAGTTGTGAACTGAAAGAACATGAGCTGAGATGTCAGGTACCATTCAAGCTTTATTAAAGGAAGAAAATCTGCTGGGCTGTGCTCAAAGTTGCAGACAGCCCAGGGCTGCCCTGAAAAGGGGACAGTGCCAGGTGTGGGGGTGGTGGAGCTTATATAGTGTGCCAAGGGTGGGTTAATACCATCAAGGAGGGTCATTATGCTAATGTGGATCACAGTGGGGAACTGAGTCCTTGCAGAAGCAAAAGGGGTTTCTGTTTAAGTCAGGAGGTTTCTCATAAAGGGAAGGGGGGAGGGGAGGAGGTGGGTGGCGCCATTTTGTACTTGGGCTTGTCTAAAGTGGCACTGGTTATGTTGCAGATCTATTATGAACCAGAGTATCTGGAGGAAGAAATTTCTAAGCAGCAAAGCATTAAGGATGCTGCATGGTTATTTCTAATAGCCTATGCTGAGTTATGGCAGAAAAGGCATGATGTAAAGCCAGAATTTAAAAAGGGAGCAGAGTGTAAAGATTTGGAAAATTTGCAGCCTGGCTATGTGGTAGAAAAGCAGAGAGCATGCAATGGTGCAGCCCAGCGACCATTAGCTAAAGAAGATTAGTACAGAGGAAAGAGATTATCAAGAGAAGGAGAAAAAGGCCCTGAAGGGATTGCAGAAGCCTCTGCGGCCAACCCTTCCATCTCAGGCCCAAAGGCCTAGGGCGACAGGATAGTCTTAGGGAACAGGCCCGAGGCACCCTCCATGGGCTCACTGCCCAGGGCCACCTCGACAAGCTGCTTCCAGCACCAGCACCCCAGCTGTTTTGGCTGCTCCAGCTGTGGCTAAATTGGCCCAGGTGTGGCTGGACCCACAGCTTTGGAAAATACAAGCCAGAAGTTTGGCGGCATCCACGTGGCGTTAGGTCTGCAGGCTCACAGAATGCCAGAGCTGGGAAGGCTTGTGAGCCTCCACCCAGATTTCAAAGTATGTATGGAAAAGTCTGGGGGCCCAGGAAGAGATCTGTCTCAGTGGTGGAGTCACCAGAGACAGCCTTCACTAGAGCAATGCCAAGCAGAAATGTGGGGTCAGAGTTGCAGCAGAGGAACCCCAACAGCACCATGCCTAGTGGAGCAGTGAGAGCAGGACTGCCATGGAGACCCCAGACCTGTGGAGCTACCATAGTGGAACACCAGCCTGGGAAAGGTGAAGTGTGGCCTGAAACCAGGAAAGCCATACGATCGGAGCTGCCCAAGGACTTGGGGACCCAACCCCCACACCAGTGTGCAGAGGCAGTCGAACATGGAATCAAGGTACCTGATTCACCAGCCTTGAGATTTAATGCCTGCCCTGCTGGGTTTCAGACTTGTTTGGGGCCTGTTTCTCCTTTCTTCTGGCTTATTCCTCCCTTTTGGAATGGGAATGTATGTATACCCAATGTCTGTTCCACCATTGTATCTAGGCAGTAGATAAATTTGGTTTTGTTTTTCAGGTTCACAGCTGCAAGGACTTTTGCTTTTGGTCTCACTTGAGACTTTGGACTTTGGGCTTTTAAGTTGGTGCTGGAACAAGCTAAGACTTTTGGTACTGTTGGGATGGAATGATTGTATTTTGTATGTGAGAGGGACATGAGTTTTGGGGGGCCAGGGGCAGAATGATGGAGTTTGGATGTGTTGTCCCCTCCAAAACTCATGTGGAAATCTGATCTCCAATGTGGCAGTGTTGGAAACTGATTGAGTCATGGGGGCGGATCCCTCATGAATGGATTAATGCTCTCCCTGGGGGAGGGGGAATAAATGAGTGAGTTCTCACTCTATTAGTTCCCGTGAGACCTTGTTGTTTAAAAGACCCTGGCACCTCCTCTCTCTCTTGTTTCCTCTCGCCATGTGATCTGCTTGTACCTGCCAGCTCCCTGCCACTTTCCGCCATGAGTAGAAGCAGCCTGAGGCCCGTGCCAGATGTAGCTGTCCACCGTAAGCCAAATAAACCTCTTTCCTTTATAAATCACCCAGTCTCAGATATTTCTGTTATAGCAACACAAAATGGACTGAAACACTTACAGAAGAATAATACATGTAAATACTCCCCTTTCCAGGCGGTGGAGCATACCCTTCCCCCTTGAGTGTGGGCTGGACTTAGTGATTCCAGTGAAAGGGAGAAACACCAAACACTAGCTTAACAAGTAGTCAAGGTTAACGTGCTGTCATGTGGCTGTTACATTCCTCCTGATAAGATGTAATCAAAGGGGCACTTTAACTGTGATATTCTTTCCAAATACCATAATCTAGTCCAATCATGAGAAGACATCTCAGGCAAACTCAAATTAAGGCACACTCTACAAAATACTTGACCAGTACTCATAGCTATCATTGTCATGAAAAGGAAATACTGAATTGTCACATATCAGAGGAGAGTGACTAAGGAGACATGATAATCAAATGTAATATGATATCCTGGATTGGATTCTGAAACAGAAAAAAGACATTAATGAAAAGACTAGTGAAATCTGAATGAAGTCTGGAGTTCGGCTAATAGTTAAAAAAAAAAAAGCCCAGAAATAAACCCTTACATATATGGTCATATGGTTTTCAACAAGGGTGCCAAGACTGTTCAATGGAGAAAAAACAGTCTTTCCAACAAATGGTGTTGGGAAAACTGGATATCCCTATGCAAAAGAACGAAGTTGGATCCTTACTTTACACCATATTTAAAAATTAACTCAAAATGGATTAAAGACCTAAACATAAAAGCTAAAACTATAAAACTCTTAGGGCCGGCCCGTAGCTCACTCAGTAGAGTGCGGTGCTGATAACACCAAGGCCGCGGGTTCGGATCCTCTATAGGGATGGCCGGTTTGCTCACTGGCTGAGCGTGGTGCTGACAACACCAAGCCAAGGGTTGAGATCCCCTTACCG